AAAAAAAAATATTTGTTTACCTACATTTTGGAAGTTCAAGGTTCAATGTATCTTAAAAGACTACTATGGAAGAATGTATAAGTAAAGTCTTAATTGGTTGAACATTAATAATTCAGACTTTTGAGTCAAACTACAATTTGGAGGCACCATCAGAATTTACAAAAAGTTGTAATGCTGTAAGCAGTATAAGCCTCGGTGAAAATAAGTTTTTATGTTTTCTGTAGGGAGGAATTTGACATCTTCTCTCGCGAAGTGATTAGGTTTGGAGATATGTGTAAAGACCCTCAATGGCACAACCTAAATCGATATTTTTCCAGGTATGTTAACACCTTTTTATTGTAGATGAGTTAAAACCACTCTGGTTTCATTAAAGATGTTTATCATAAGTTGTAACCACTTCTCAGGTTGGACTCAGACACTCTTACGCACAAACAACTAAGATCAGAGGCTGAATTGATGATGCAGGAACTGAGCACTCTGGCTCAGCATACTTCTGTAAGTTCGTACCTTGTTTTGAAGTGCATGGTGGCTTTCTACTAATTTTTGTTTCTCAACATGTTACGTGTTTTACAGTATAAGTAAATCCTTCCTTCTGTTCTTGGAGTGAGAATTTCTTTTCATATCCTTTTTACTTTCATGAACTGTAACAATTTTGGGACAATATTGGAGTGGTTTCTTCTTGAGGGAATGGAGGGTCTTTCAGAAACAGCCTCTCTACCTCACAAGGTAGGGGTAAGGCCTGCATACACTCTACCTTCCCCGGATCCCACTAGCATGTTGTTGGTTTCTTCTCGGCTTTATAACTTCCTTGATGTTATACTAGACCTATTGTATGAGATTTGCCAATATTTACATTTACCAGCAAGAATATTTTCTGATTTATGTTGGTTGTACTGTCTTGTATAAGGAAAAAATATATTAAGAATGGTATGAGTTGAAGTGTAACCAAGACGGGAAGTTACTTGATTCTTTTCCTATGTCCGGTTTTATTTACTCTGAAGTTGATGTTCTCTCTAGAAGTTATGGCTCACATCTATATTGATATTCCAAAGTCATTGATGAGACACTGCCACTGGTATCTTTACAGGAATTATATCATGAAATGCATGCACTGGACAGATTCGAACAGGATTATCGGAGGAAACTTGAGGAATTAGATTCCCTAAATCTACCTCGAAAAGGTATATCAGTGTTACTTTTTTTTTAGTTCTCTGTGATTTGTCATTTGTGCAAACTTAGCTGGATGACGGTTTGAGTAAAAATGTTGTGCAGATTCTTTTTGTGTATATTAAAAATGTCTTCTTTGGATTCTTCATTTTGATAATTTGGTAGATTAACATACAAATTGACACATTTTCTTTCACTTGTAGGGGAAGGTCTCATGATGTTACAGAGTGAGCTAAAACATCAAAGAAAGATTGCGAGGAGCTTGAAAAAGAAATCTCTTTGGGCTAAGGGTTTGGAGGAGGTACTTTGACCAAAACTTTTCTTTATCTCATTTTCAAGTAAAGCATTTTTCACTTTTCTAATAATCAAATTAGTAGAACTCGTAAAAAGAGAACTTTTTCAAAATTACCGTGGAAATTGGTAAGCTCATGGAGGCAACAAGATCTTCATTTGATTTTGTGATTGAAATGAAAATTGTTTTTTTCTTTTAAGAGTGTCATTATTTTCAGCGATAATCACTTAGTGATCCCAAATTAATCATTGTAGGTTGTGGAGAAGCTTGTTGACATTGTTACGTATATACATCAAGCAATTGTGGAAGCATTTGGGGACAACGGTATGAGAGTACATGTATTTTTTTGTTGATCAGTTTAAATTTGATGGCTGTCGTTATCAGCATTCTATTATTTGCAAATAACGAAGCTTAGAGTATCTAACCTTCATTGATGTTTGATAAATGGCTGTTTGCGCTCCACACCACTAAATTGCACCAGCCACTTCATTCTTTTGCCTCAGATACCTTTTACATGTTAACATTTTATCTTATTGAACTATTTTTCATTAATAATGGTTATAGAGGAAATCCTAAGCCAAATCCTGACTTTAAAAAAAAATGTAAAATGGTACGGGAAATTAAACAAAAGGGTAACTCCTGAGGAAAAAGGGAGGACAATCTTCAGTGTTTTTCCTTTTTCGGTCTTCAGTCCAAGTTTTCCAAGTCACTACAATTGCGTAACATTTTAGGAAAGATGACAGAGTTGTGACTAATCATTGATCTGTACATTTACCAAGCGAGGAATTCTTACTAAAGATTACGGCAAAGTCAAGCTATATATTCTCTCCGTTTCAATTTGTTTGCCCTGCTTTCTTTTTTAGTCCATTTCATAAAGTACGTCTCTTTCCTTTTTTGGCTACTCGTTAACTCCAACTGTCTATGTGACACGTTTAAGACCACAAGATTAAAAAATCTTCTTTATTTTCTTTAACTCCGGATCAATCAAAACCACACAAACAAATTGAAATGGGGGGAGTACTCTAGCTATTTACAATGCAGAGTTAACTTGCATATGTACACACATTGTCTCTTCTTTCCCAGAGTATGCTTTCTTAAATATAGACGAATCTCTATGCTTGTTGCAGGATTGACATCTGCTGTCAAGGAGCCTGTGAAGAAACAAGAAAGATTGGGAGTAGCTGGTCTGGCTTTACACTATGCTAACTTAGTTACTCAAATTGATAACATTGTAAGTTTTAGTGCTGAATTAGAGCGATACTGATTGCGCTGTTTACGACTGCTCCAATAGTATTCATAACAATGGGATTTGATATCATGTCAGGCTTCACGGCCCACCGCTCTTCCCCCTAACATGAGGGATGGATTATATAATGGATTGCCTCCTTCCATAAAAACGGCCCTTCGTTCACGTCTGCAGGCGGTTGATGCAAAGGAAGAGGTTTGTCCTCCATATTAATTTCTCATTCTTCCCCCCTTTCTCCCTTTTTCTCTTTTTGGGGTCTAATGATACCTCCCGTTTGCATTTAAGTTCTATATCTGTATAAAATAGTTTCTCCACGTTGTGCTTTTTGCAGCTCACAATTCCGCAGATTAAAGCAGAAATGGAAAAAACTCTTCACTGGCTTGTCCCAGTCGCTGCAGATACTACGAAGTATGTGTTTCGACAAAAGCTCTCCCCCCTAACCACCACCACACACACGCACAAACTTTTGCTAATATATGCTGATTCTTTTTTGTGTTTTTCTCTCTTGGCAATGGGATAACAGAGCACACCAAGGCTTTGGATGGGTTGGAGAGTGGGCCAACACCGGGTTAGTTCCATAAGTCTCTACATGAGCAAAATTGAATATTTACATTTGCAGTTTAGTTTGGATAGCATTCTTCAAGAATATAATATTTGGAGGCGGATGCAGCCATGCACTGTGGGTTCAATTGAACCTCGTTTATTCTATATAACATCATTTGTTTTGATATAATTTTTTGGTTGTGATAGTGAATGTTATTAATAGAGAATATATGATACAACATAACATGAACGATTGGTTCAAAGAAAATATGGTTGTTATATAGTTACATGCTTTATAGGATGCCAGATGGCTATTATAGAGAGGGCTGACTGTATATATAAGCATAATTTCAATAAATATTAGATTTTTGAACCCATAATTCAGTTGTACAATGATATCTGTTAAGGACTTCAAAAAATTGAAACATCAAAGTTTTAAATTTTCGATCAGCTTCTAATGTTATTGGTTTTTTCTCTTTCAGAAGCGAGTTTGGCAAGAAGAACCCTCCACAAGTTTCCCTCATTCGACTGCAGACACTCTACCATGCTGACAAACAGAAAATGGACTACCATGTCCTTGAACTAGTGACATGGCTTCACCGTTTGATCAGCCTGGTAAGATATAATGGGCCCAAGGCTTTTCCAGGACGATCACCAACACGCAAAGGACTTAATCTGCAGACTGAGTTGATGATGAACACCAACTCAAAAACACCTAAGATTCAGATTTCTCTCGAAGATAGGACTTTACTAGAGAAAGTGATGAAACAGAAATGTTTGGTTCCTGGAAGAAGCAAGAGTCAGGAGTTTCTGTTGCCCAAGAATCGGCAAAAGGTGTGGGCGCTAAGTAGAAGCATGGGTAACTCCCCTCGTACCGACTTTCAACATCCAAAGGCTACTGTTTTGGATATATTAGATGGCTTACATTAGCATTTTGAGTTGCTAAAGAGAGATCTCAAGCAAAAAAAAGGTTCATTTTTTTGTTTTCTTGATTCTTAGCTCCCTCCTCCTATGGAACTAAAGCCTCTTTGTATATAGTCTCTCCATCATATGGTGATTGGGAAAAATGTTATACTGTAGCATATTATTATCGCCAAAATACATTTAGATTCTAGTGGAATTGAATGTTCATGGATGACAGGGAATGATGTTTATTTGGGCATTTTGCAGCCAACTTACTATGAATGTTTTGGTAATATGAAATGTAACCATTAGGATGAAGTCCCAAACACTCTATTTTGTTATTGGTCCTAATAGCTGTCATATTTTCTATAAAACCCTGCCGCAGGTATTCCGGTTAATACCCTTTTGAGCCGAAGGTCTATCAGAAATAATCTTTTCTATTTCCACAAAGATTGGGCCAAGGTCTCCTCCGTACATCTTATATATATTCAGCATTTAAATAAAAGATAACTCAATTTGACAACCTATATGCTTTTGTTATGAATACATGTAATTGTAGATATATATTCACACGACAATGAAAAATCATTTTTTTTGTGAATATTAAATTTTGAATCGGTAATTGTAAAAGTATAATAAGTTCCATATAAATAACTTTCAATATTGATTTTGAATACATATCGTTTACAACATATACAGTGTAGTCTCATCTATATCTTTCGTACGAATAATAAATTAGGTATGAGGCAATTTTACTAAGGTATATTATGATCTTCCTCACAGACCTTGTGATCCACCTATATCACAATGAAAATTCCTAATTAAACTATTTAACTTCCTTCAAATATCTTCACATTAGTTAATTTCCAGACATAAACTATTATTACCAAGAGAAGTTTCTATAAAACAATTACTCAAAAGTTTTTACTATTATTAACTGAAAAACAAAAATGAAGACTAATTTTCTCTTTTATATTTTTACAATTTCTACTTTTGTTAGTGTCCATTCAAAACTACTTCACTTTGATTGGGTTGTTTCAATTTCCTCTAATGCACTCATTGGAGATCCTAAAGAGGTCACTTTGTTTTAGTATTTTTTTTCTTAACCTCAATTTTTTTTTGTTAATTATGTTTTTTTTAAAGAATATTTAAAATAACTATTTTTTTTTTGTGATGGTGAAAACAGGTTATTATGATCAATAATCAGTTTCCAGGGCCCCTTTTGAACACAACAACAAATGATGTGGTCATTGTCAATGTTTATAACAACTTGACTGAACCTTTCCTCATGACATGGTAATTTATTTAATATTTTTGTTAGTTATTTCTAAGTATGTTTTATGACCATTCATACGTCAGCGGTGGATATAGGACGAGTTCTGTGGGTTCAATTAAACTCGTTGCTTTTAACTTGAACTAAGTATACATACACGATTTTTAACGATATTGCATATATGTAATGAAAGTCAACATGTAGGGACTACAGAAAATGCAACTATTGAGACAACTCAAAAATAAAATTAGTGAGGTAAGGTCAAGCTCGGAAAATGATTCAATGGATTCGAAAGAATAAATTTTGCTCTGCATGAATCAAGTTCTTCCATGAGACTATGATCATACTCATTTTGCTCGTTAAGTGTTAACTGTATTCTGAATTTGTCTCTGATACATTCATGATTTCTTTAGAACAACTTATATTCAATGATCTTTAACTTAAAATATTGCGAAAACTATAAGGAATGGAGTGCAATTAAGGAGGAATTCATGGCAAGATGGAGTTGAAGGAACCAATTGTCCAATTATGCCTGGAAAAAATTGGACATACAAATTTCAGATGAAAGATCAGATTGGAAGTTTCTTCTATTTTCCTTCACTCTTTTTCCAGAAAGCTGCTGGAGGCTATGGTCCTATTCGAATCAACAACGTTGAGACTGTTCCTCTTCCATTTACGCGTCCTGATTATGAATATGATATACTAATTGGAGATTGGTATTTTGATGAGTATAAGGTATGTGTAAAGTCGTAACATAAGTATAAATGCTATAGATTATGAAAATGCACAATGTAGTTTAGTTGTAACCTTAATTGTTTTTGTGAAGGACTTGAGAATTTCTCTAGAAGATGGATGCAAAATGCCTTTTCCAGATGCCATTCTCATCAATGGTATGAGATCTGATCAAGCTACCTTTGAGTTTCAACCCGGTAAGTTTACGTTTGTATAGAGAATTACCAACAGTTGTAAGATCTGCGTACACTCTACTCTTCTCAGACCCCACCTAGTGAGATTTCACCGGGTATGTTGTTGTGGGACCGAGGTGTAGTTGTGCGATTTTTAAATCCTTTTGACATAAACAAAGCATTTTGTGTAGTCATAAAGGTACTAGCTCGTGTTCGTATCTTAGGTGGTTCTGAATCCCCTTGTTGAAAATCCTGATTCCGTCTAATGACATTTTGGTTTCTCTGTTTCGTCTTCAGGGGCTACCTATAGATTGAGAATCTCGAACATAGGATTAAAAACAACCTTAAATTTCAAAATCCAGGATCATGAAATGCTTTTGGTGGAGACTGAAGGAGCCTACACTTCAAAAAAGTACCACCAAAGTCTAGACATCCATGTTGGTCAATCTTATTCTGTTCTTGTTACTGCAAAGAACCACAGCTATAATAGCTCGTATCATATGGTGGCCTCTTCGCGATTCATCCCCAGGAAACTTTCAGGTCTTGCTATTATACGATATCCCAATTTTGATGTTGAACCCTTGGTTGCTGTTTACCCTGATGAACCTTCTCAGGACGAGTTCAGATTTTCACTGGAACAAGCTCTATCAATAAGGTACAAACAGGTTATAATGCAGGTTACGGACTTTTGATAAATTATTTATACATATTAAGTGAATGGTACTGTAGCTTCGCCCCTTGACAAAGTACAAACATGCTTGTTTGTTGTAAGAATAATAATGTTTGGAAATTGAAACTTTCAATTATTGAAACAGGACAGATTTATTAGTAGGAGCTGCGAGGCGTAATCCTCAAGGATCTTATGTATATGGAAGCATTAACATAAGCCGGACACTGATCCTCCAGAACGGTGAGGCAGCGTTGGATGGACAAAATCGATACACAGTGAATGGGGTATCGTTTTTGCACCCGAGAACACCACTGAAGCTGGCAGATTATTTCCAGCTAAGTGATGTTTTCGAGCCTGGTTTTCTTCCTGCTTCACCAGTAGATGATGTTCCTAGACTTGGTATCTCAGTCATTGATGCCAATTATCATGATTTTGTTCATATTGTTTTCCAAAATCCGTTAGACTCGTTACAAACGTGGCATTCTGATGGATACAACTTCTTTGTTGTCGGGTAATTACAGTTAGCTCGATTTTGGGATATTTGTTCATTCACTTAACCGTTGATATAGCTAAACCTAACTTGCTTGAGATTGAGACGTAGTTCTTATTATAAATCTTGAACGTATTGCAGAATGGGACGCGGTAAATGGGAGGTGGAAAAGATGGAAACATACAATATGATTGATGCTATTTATCGCTCAACGATTCAGGTTAGAGTTGTGATTATTTTGGTACTAGGCACTGTGAAGCAACCTTTTATAACATGTTAAATCACACTGAGAGTTGTAAAACTGATTTTATTTCGTTGCAGTATATATAAGTTAAATTTCTCAACGAAAATGCAGGTGTATCCATATTCATGGACCGCGATACTAATAAAGTTGGACAATCAAGGGATGTGGAATCTGAGATCACAGGATGCAGAAAAATGGTATCTTGGACAAGAATTGTATATAAAAGTGAAAGGAGATGTGAATGATCCTTCCAAGATTTCTCCAAGAGATGAAGCTCCAATTCCTGCAAATGTTATTAAATGTGGAAAAGTTGCTGATTTATAAATTTTGATTGTTAGTAATAGTATTGTTTTAATAATAGACTTTAGAGTAAGCCAATATATATAAGCCTTTGATTACTTCTTCATTTTTAAAGGATTGGAAATGGAATTGTGTTTCATAGAAAATATTATCTCCGTACATAAAATTTAGTAAAAATTAGAAGTGAATATCCCACATCGCAGAATGAAGAGAGTTATGGCTGGTTGGCTAGAATAAACAATGGAGTCTGTGTGCTCAGTTAAAGTATGATCCTTCAGGCAAGTTTTAATGGGATATGATAGGTGGTCAATACTCGCAATAAAATATGCGAGATGGGCGTTCCAGCTCAGCCTGGTTACGACAATTTGAGCGCTCTCGTTCAAACCAATCTGATCCCTATTATTTATTTATTTTCCCCTCCCCTCCTCCCCTTTTAGTAAGATTTTCAAATAAATTTGATTTTTTTCTCCCCTATACTTTATATTATTTTATCTTCTCTTATTGTTACTATTTTTGTTTCTTAATTTTATAACTATAAACAATAAAAATAAATTTAGTGTAAGCTTAAAGAAAATACACGCTAAAAGGAAGTAAACAAAACGCTTCCGAGGGAAAATAAATAAATTAAACAATGGAGGTGGCTGGTCAAAACAGCAAATAATATCTCTCTATAGCCTCAAAAGTATGGTTAAATATAAGTTCCGGTAATGCCCAAGTACCCTTCAACTTATGCTCGAAATCTCTCAGACACACTTATACTATACTAAGGTCCTATTACTCTCCTTAACTTATTTTATTAATAATTTTTTACTCCTTTTTAGCTTACGTGGCACTATTTTGTGGGCCCAACGATGGTTGTTTTTTTCGAACTAGTGCCACGTAGGCTAAAAAGGGTAGAAAATTACATATAAAATAAGTTCAGGGGGGTAATAGGACCTTAGTATAGTATAAGTGTGTCTCTGGAATTTCGGGCATAGGTTGAGGGGGTACTTGGGTATTTTTCCAATATAAGTCTGACAATATTTTTTAAGAAACTATGAAATAAAGATATTTGAGTAAAAGGATATGACCAGTGATGACTCGATAGTGTTTAAAAAGATATTTGTCCCTTACGCCTTCATATTCATGGGACTTCATTTTTAATAATAATAAGTTATAAATTATTATTTTTTAACAAATATTGAATGCTATTTATAAAAAAAGTTAACTTTTCATGAAAAATGAAAGGAAATATTAAAACAAATTTGAAAGATTTGAAATATTATATCTCATGAAACATGTTATATGACTTCACTTGTAACAATATCTATAAACAATATTTCAAAAGAAATTTTTGTATATATTATTTGAACTTTCTCGAGAAAAATTCATATTTATACACAACTTCTATTTCTAAATTTTCAAATACCACTTTATCTCACCATCAACAGAATAATGGCCTCTGAATGTTTCATCGAGGATAAAATAAGTATTTTAAAGTCAAATTATTACTTAATATAAAAACGTATTACTTTTTTTAAATAAACTAAAAATAATATAAATTATATAAATTGAAATAGAAAAATATTATCGGATGAATTGGTAACTAAGAAATGGAAGTAAATAATAATAATCCCACATTGGAGAATGAAGTGAGTTATGGGTGTTAGTGAGTAGAATAAATAACTAAGGCAGTGGACCGAGTATAATTTTGATCCTTCAGTCAAGTTTTAATAGGATATGATGAGTGGTCAAATGCTCACAATAATTTTGTGAGAAGGATGCCTAAGCTCAGCCTGGTTACGACAATTTAGGCCTTCTCAATTTTATCAATTTGATCCTAATTTCTAAAGCCATTTATTTTAAACAAATCTTTGCTGGATTTGGACTATTAGACTCAATAGACTTTATAATCAATATGATACCTTTAATAAAAGTGAAGATGGCTTTAATTGGATACTAAGTGAATAATTTTATTTATTATGAATTTGATTTGATTGACATGCAATTCTAATTAGAATTTGCTTAACTAATCTTGTATATATATCTAATTCTGTTGTTCCAAGTGGTATCCAAATTTAGCATTTCTAGAACGATTTCGGTTTTGACATGAGGAATTGACAAGGACAACTAACAATACAATGTAATTATCCTTATCTTTGATTATGCCTTCAGTAAACTTCACGTGTATAATTACATATAATCGATATATTTAAGCCTACTTCTCCTTAGATCCACCAACATCAACCTTTCACATATCATATTATTTAGGAATCTAAATACCTCTTATTTACATGTTTAAATCATTCTTTAAGTGAAATATATTTAAATTCAAATATCCTTTTTTTTCTCACTACCAACGAAATAATGGACAAAGGCCTACCAAACATTCACAGGAAACTACTATTACTACAATTTTAAGGTCATGTTATGGATTTATAGAAATTCATAACTTTTGTCGTATAGATATAGATATAGATATATATACAAAACTCAATTAAAATATCAATAATAATTTATTTGAATTCATAATTGTAATGATATGGTGAGTCAGTACAAAAAACCTAATACTTCAATGTGAGTTGCCAATTAAGAATGGAAGTAAATTATCCCACATTGGACAATGTAAGAGAGTTATGGAGATTGGGTCGAATAAATAATTGAAGCAATCTACTTAGTAAAATTGTGATCCTTCAGCCAAGTTTTAAATCCTAAATCCTAAATCCTAAATGTGAGAAGGGCGTCTAGGCTTATCTTGATTACGACAATTTAGATGCTCTTAATTTTATTAACTTGATCTTTATTTCTGAAATTAATTTCCAAAAAATAAATAATTTTGTATTATTCGTTTTTAACTTTTTATTTAATATTTAATATCTCTTACCTTCATATTATTTTGACTCTTTTAATCACTTTTTAATGAAACAAAAGAAAACATGTTTGTAAATTAGAATGTGTTTTTTATTTTAATTGGTTAGCTTTTTGCCAAAGGAAAACACAGTATGTGAAAGGAGACAACAAATCTTTGCTAAATTAAATTTTGAGACAATGGGCTAAATCGCAATGGTGACTTTAGACTTCATTACTCAATAATAAGACACCTTATTATAAAAGTGAATTTGGCTTTTATTGGATATATAAAGTGAAAAATTACAAGTGTTGTAAAAATAGTTAGTGATTTAGGTGGAATATATAAGGTCAATACTCAATATGTTACTTTCTAATTTTAATACTACATATTATGTATTTGAATTGATTGACATTCAATTCTAATTAGAATTTGCTTAACTAATCTTTGTATAAATATAAAAAATTTAGCATCTACCGACGTGAGAAATTGACAGGGAGGCTAGCTGCTCCTAATACGCGTTTGGTTTCTCCTTTGTAGATATGAACCGACAGGACAAACTTTATCATTTAAACATGTGCTACTTGTCTAGAGCCCTACACTTATACGTCGTCAGCTTGATACAAAATTTAAGAAAAAAAATAAAAGAATTTTGAAGTTTGAGATACTCGATGATCATTTCATTATGTGATACAAGAAAATTTTAAATTTAAATTATTTTATTTTAATTCATTTAGAAAAAAAAAATTTAATATTTTTTTAATTTTAATTTTCTGACATATTTAAAATAAATTCAAAGAATTTTTTAATACTTTTCATATATTTTAAATTGAAAATAAAATTAATTTTTTTAGATACTTTATTAAATTAAAATCAGATAAATAAATTAAAAACCCACGAAAAGTCAGGCTGAGTCAGCAATGATAAGACTATACTATCCAAAAGGAAAAAAACCCGACCTCACACGTACCACAAATCATGTCGCTACCATTACTATGAGCGTATGGGAGCTTTTACTACTTCAATTTTATTTGATATTAAACCATAAATATTTAATATTCCATGTTTCACGATATGTAATCAAACGGTATATACCGTGGAGTATGACACAATTTTCTTAAAATTAAATATACAAATTCTGAATTTGATAACATAAATAAGTTGTAATTGCAAAATGACTAATCGTCTCAAACTCATATTCAATACTTCTTTCGTTAATATTTTTAATAACTAAAATAAGAAATGTTAAAATTAGTTTTGCATCATTACGGCACTGTTCCACTTACACTTTTTTTTTCCTTCGTATTCCAAACTTTCGCTTATAAATAGGAAAAATGTTCTTCCATTTTTTTTCTATCTATCCAAAACATTCACTCACACGCTATTATTTTCTCCAATAACTAACCAAATTCTTCTAGAACAATTATTCCAAATCTATGGCTTCTTCTTCTTTTCTTCTCTCCACTTCAATTACCGGCTCTAAACTCTCCGCCGCTGCACCACCGCGGAGTTCTGTTAGCTTCAAGCAGCGGCCGTTCTCTGTTTCCGCCGCGTACTCCACTGCGGAGAGGACTTCTACTGCTACTACTAGTAGCTCTACAATCGCCTCACATACATCGTTATACGAAGTTTTAGGGATTCAATTTGGAGCTAATTCTCATGAAATTAAGTCTGCTTACCGGAAATTAGCCAGAATTTTGCATCCAGATGTTCGTAATTCGTCGGCGGAGGACTTTATAAGAGTCCAATCAGCGTATGCTACTCTTTCCGATCCGGAAAAACGTGCTAATTATGATCGGAACCTATTTGGAAATAGAATTGCAAGGCCTGTTGATTTCTCAACGGCGGGAGCTCGCAGCCATTATACTGTTCGCCGAGGATGGGAAACCGATCAGTGTTGGTAGAATTTTTCGAAATCTCCCGCCCGATTAGTCACAAAATTTAGATGAGCACCACTTAATTTCTGATCGTAACTCAAATCTGAAATTTCTTATAACGATAATAAGACCCGTTATTTGTACAGTACATGTAAATGTGACTTTATGTATATAATACTTTAAAAATTTGTTATGTGATTTGGGATTAAGATAAATAATCAGACTATGTTTTTGAAGTCTGAAAGTTCATCAAAATTGTTCACTCAACATTTGTATTATTAGAATTTACGATATACTTACCTTTTTTTTATAACCACATAAATAATCTTTAATATTTAGTCAAATACTATTACGTACGTAATTTGGAAAGCAACAAGTATAAACTTTTTCATTTGGTCAATGCTCATGTATTCCTTTCATATGTTTCTATTAATGTATGTTTGAGATATATTTTAAAGTAAAAATTGAAGTTTGAAAAATACTTTTTTTGTAGATTTTTGATCGTGTTCCATGACTTCTCACATGTCCTACTTGTGACTTTGTGAGGTGAAAATGTTGCCAATTTAGTCCACAATATCATAGGTCCCCTACTCTATAAGATAAGAATTACAAGTCATAACAAATCGATGTGATAAATTTTCTATTAAATTTTGATATATTTTTTTCATATATAATAAATATTATATCATAATCATCAAGTTTGCAGGATTTAATTTAAATATTATATTATATTCATATCTTTCACTAAATAACTTTTATTTTTATGCTTGATAATATAATATTATTATAAATTTTTTTATTTAAATAAATATATTCACCGAAATTCAGACGTTCTTTGAAAAAAAATAAAAGTACTAATAATGTCACTTCGATCCATGTTTTGAATTCAACATCTCATCATTACGAAATCAAGAGCAAGTTGAGTAGCATCTAGTAAGTGAAATCTGTCATCTTTCTACAATTGCAAAATATAACACATTATATATTTGTCTTTATTTAAGTAATTTTTCTTTCTCAAATTATTTGAGGCCTATGGTTTTTTCCAATTTCGTAGATATTATGTTAGTCATTTATGATTCTTTTCTCTCTTTTAGTCTTTATTTGGAAAGTTGTTATAAGTTTTTGATAGAGATTCTTATAATAGTATTTTAGAAGTTCATAATTTATTCAAGTAAATTTTTTTTAATAGAATAAATTTCTAATATAAATATGTTTTTACACATAAAAGATATAGAAAATACTAATAACTCTCTTACTTATATTTTTTCAAAAATGCAAAATTCAACTTTTGCAGTTATTTTGTGGCCATCAAAATTGAGTATTCTCTAAGACATGTCATCAAAAATTTGTTTAAGATATTGTTCTCATGATCAATGGTAAGCCTATATTAACAAAGTTATTTTTTTTATATTAGACGTGTTAATCATTGGATGTTTGTCGCAATATTTCGCTTTTTTGATGAAAAAAAAAGGTGATCTCCTTATATCGTCTTATGAAATGATTAATAAAAAAAGAAAAAATTAAATAAGTGTTAATAAATTTAAATGTCGATATCGAAGGAGAAGAATTTCTATCACGAACGAATAGCGAGAGTGACAAAAAAAGATCAATATTCTTAACAGGAAATTGAAGTGGAAATGAACATCCAAGAGCCGTTGCCTGTTGAAATTCGACACCTCCCTTTTTGTGATAAGCTCTCCTAATTTGAATCATACTTTAGAAAAAGTATTCAGTTTAGATGTCTTTTATGTTTGAGCTAATTTAGCGTAATATATTGTTAACATGATGTGATATTAGTAAATATTAAATATATGTGCATGATTCACACGTGGTGTATGTACGGAATAAAAACATATTATATTTGAAATAATATTAAAAGGATGAATTGAAGGCTCCAGAGATGAGTTATCTTCGAAGAATCACCATTACATATCTGGTATCGATCACGTCCATCATAACGTCATAACAAACAGAACTTATGTTACTAATAAAGGTGGGAAGCCATGGTCCCAAGTAATACGTGTAACAATATATATGTCCACGTATAGTATTTCTATTGGACGGCGTACTAAGAGGCCCAAGGATGATGCCTATAGTTGGGCCATGTATTTACAAAAAGGGAACGTTCACTAGCTAATAAAATAGCCTTCTATAATTTGATAACTATTTTTAGCTACATGCTATAGGAAGGAGAGAGGTGAGCAAGACGGGGAGAGAGGTGAGAGAGAGAAGGCAAACAGTGGAGGAGAGGTGAATTATATATGTATATTAGTTAGATAATTTTATATTATACAAATATATTTGTATATATGACAAACGAGATTGAGAGAAAGGGGATAGAGGACAACGATATTGGAAAAGGAAGGAGAAAGGCGAATGATATTGGGAGAGAGGCGAGTGAGAGAGCACAATGAGTGGGAGAGAGGTGAATTGTATATGTATATTGGTTAGATAGTTATAACTTGTATATATATATATTGATTAGATAATTATATATTATACATATATATTTATATATTTTAGTGAATTATACATATACAAATGTGCCTAATTATACAGAATCAAAGTCAACCCACATAATTATAGCAAACTATAACTATAGTGAATAATTAAATAATATAAATTTACTTAATCGCGTACAAAATGGCCTGGTTCATGCTTACCTCGATATCGAGGCCCAATATCTAAAATATGGCCCTTTTTACGCTTACCTTGATATTGAGGCCCAACTCATTATAAGTTCGTGAATACAAGCAAAACGGGAAAAGCTAACACAGTCGCACAAAAATGGCTAATGTAATGAAGCCTCTGATGAATTGGCCAAAATGGCATCACTATTTATACGTTCGCGCTTCATTCATCCACTTTGTTCAATCTCAATCTCAATCTCCACTCTTCTCAACCTGCAATGTTCGCCGACTGCCGTCGTTCACGGCATCACCTTCCGGTTACCGGCAAGCTCATTTTCGTTCCGGCGCGGCACTTAAATCACGTGAAAGTCCATTACCGTTAGATCAATCAGAGGGCGACAGCGATTCCGATGAAAAAACAAGGAAGAGTCGTAACGAGAAGAAGCGTGAAGCTCGACGCGCCGTCCGGTGGGCTATGGATTTAGCTAAGTTCTCTGCTCCTCAAATTAAGCGCATTCTCAGGTAATTAGATAACTTTCTAGTTACAATTGACTAAATGATATAAGTTAATGTTTCATATTTCACTGTAGAGTGGCTTCAACGGAGCAAGAGGTATACGAAGCCGTTATGCTGGCCAAGGTAGTTTTATGTTCTATCAATTGTGAGGTATTATTGCTATTTTTTCGTTGTTAGTGAGTGTAACATGTTTGCTCATTTGCCGCAGAGACTAGGTCCTGATGTACGAGAAGGAAAGCGAAGGCAATTCAGTTACATAGGTATGCTTTAAGATGCTTACTTTCTCCATCAAAGTGATCTTTATATCCAAATGTTTTATAGCATCGTTCTGTATTCAGATAAGCAGAAGTTGTAAGTTATAGTACCTTTAATCTATTAGATATCTCAGTTGTATACTTATATCCAATGTAGGATTAATATAGTCAATATTGATTACTTGATAAGTAAAAAGGAACTCGCAAATTACTTAATTAGCATGGTAGTGAACTGTTTTAAAAGATGGCATATAATCAAGAGCATTTGGTAGGAAAGAAGGAGAATATATGGAGTATAAGGATTTAGGAAAGAAGTATAGTAATCTCAATTTGCTAAAATTGAAAAAGCAGATGAGTTAGTAGTATGCAGTGCCGTATTTGAAATTCATAAACTTAATGTTTTACCTTGATTCAAATCACATTACACTTTTATCCATTATTTTGAATTCATTTGAAACTACACTCTAAAACATGACATTTTAAATTTACAAGTATGGATCGCCTCTTTTTAGCAGATGTCTCTATCAAAATGGGTCTATTACTTTCCTCGACCCCTAAAGGACAAACATGTTGACATGAATCCGTATATGGTTGTAGTTTACTTACACCAACAACATCAAATTATTAGAGAAGAACAGTACCCTTGGAGTTGTATTCTTCCTTACTAGTTGGTGCTTATCCCGCATATATATATTCTACCTTAGTGTTGGTGCTTATCCCGCATATATATAGTCTACCTTAGTGCTGGTGCCATCTTCTTTTTTATTTATTTGTATAAAATGGCGGGGGGGGGGGGGTTTCGACATTGAGAGGGACTACACTGGGTATGATGATGTTGTAGGATTTTTAGTGCTGGGGCTACCTAAAACCGCTCTTCCAGTGATTTTGTGATGTTAGAAACAATTCATAAATTAACAACTCAAGAAGAGGGAAGCATTTTTTGTCAATCTATTGTCGGTCATATATAATCTAAATTTCTCTGTATTGTTCAACCTCTGATCTTGTAAACATCTTAGTTTTCTTTGCCTCACTGGAACAACTATGGGATCTATGGTTCTTTCCGTCTGATAAATTCAGTAACTGATTTATCATAAGCTTTCTCTAGTCATCAATTTTACGCTATAAAAACAAATACTTGTGTTACACAAAAAAATAACAACAATTGGTGAAAGAAGTTTATGTCGCATAGAATCTTCTTGTAGTTCATATATTTTGCATCCACAAAAGCAAATAATTTATGAGATGTAATAGTAGGCTTTTAGGGGATTGATGCAAAAAGATAGAACTGAGCAGTAGGAATGCTTGTGAAACTGCCTTCAGATCTGATGCATAACGTTTGGTAATTTATCGAGTTCCTTTTGCAAAGTTTTTCATTCTCACCATTTGTCATCGGAGTGGCTTCTGTGACAGATTCAATGGAAAGGGCTCAAAGGAAATTTGATCTCTTTGGTGCAGAATGGAATGGATAAACAAATTTGTGAGTTGAGGTTGATGATCCCAAAACGTTATTGGGATAGCAAAAATAGAAAATTAGTGAATGGTAATAGAGTTCTAATTTGAATCCTTCTAATTTCCTTATCTCATACTTTTTAGGAGGTTCATGCAAATGGAGGGTAAACACTGAATAGTAATACTGCAGCGCTGTCAATTGAAAGAAGAGGAATCAACTTGATATTATTCTTGAACAGAAGCACACTAATAATAAATTTATTCTTTTGAGAAGGGTCATTCTAGTGAAAAAGGTGTTGGTGTGTCACTTAATGTTTGACCTATATATGCTATCTCTTATTAGAAGATCCAGCAAATTATATACAGCTGTTTGAGTACATACATGTTAATAACAGAGGAAGCAATCTGAAAATTAGATATCCCTTGTGAATGCATTATCCACTTCCTGCCTTTTCATTTCTTGTTCCAGGCCACAGTGAATATGCTTGTCATGTCTTTTGTTCCATTTTCTCTAGAACTGTGCTTTGTATAATTGATTTGTGAACTGTTCATTCCCATGACTGAAAAAATCATGATGTTCGGTATGAGTTGTGGTTTATTAATTGATTGATCCCTCATAGTAATTGTGATGCATCATATTACTAAAGTTCTATTAATGTTGTTATTTATCTACATTTTGATAAGAGATTGTTTACATTGATGGTTTGAATTCTAAAATCTATGCACTCATAAACCATGGAATTTTTCTGCTGAATATTTTGGGAGTAAGTTAACCTTGGAAATGTTTGCAGTGTTATAATTTCAGTTTCTTGTCTTGAAATTTGATCACATGAAATTAATGTATGTTGGATCTATATGCTCACGATGTAATATGAATTCATGTTAGGTAGATTATTGCGAGAAGTTAAGCCTGAATTGATGGATGGTTTAATTCAGGCAACAAAAGATGGAGACCAAACTAAATTTCAGGCTTTATCTGGTTCGGAACTTTCGGCTACCGAAGATGTTGATGAGGAAGTTGAAGAGACTGAATATGAGGATGACGAAGAGGTATGTCATAATCTCACTCCTCATTTTGGGGATCAAATTTCTTTGGCTGCTTTACTGTGTTTAAAGTTATGACTGAGCACAAGAAACTACAATCGCGAATCTATTTCCATGAAAAATGAACAAGTATGAGAACAACTGTTCTGCTCGTCTGTTTAATAAAAGAGCTGATTACGAAACCTGCATAATGTGGGTTAGATAACATAACAGGACAACAATTTAAATTTTACTTGGGAACTAATTTCAGGACTGCAATTGAAAGTTTGAAGTTCTCTTTTTCTTGTGCTTATTTTCAGAGTTCTGAGGACAATATTGCTTTAGCCGATAGATGGTTTGATGGCTTGGTCAATAAGGACGTTGACATCTCTAAAGAAATCTATTCTCTAAGTGAGGTTGATTTTGATCGCCAGGTTAGTTCAGATGTTATACGCAGGTCTGGAATTATCTTCTTTTTTGGATTTTCTGGTGTATAAGTTGAATTGACACATAATTTTATGATTTTCATGCTCAATCTCTTCTTGTATATGTTCATTTCAAAAGACAAATAATCGGTAAAGGAAAACTAGTAATGAAGAATTAATATGGACAGATCAGTATTTCAGGCTGTCAAATGTGCACCCTGACCTTAAATGACATAGTTGTTAGCTTAGTTAACTGCGCGTTTCATTACAATTAGCTTAAAGGTGTCAACAATTTACTTGTGCTGTTTTTATGGAATAAGCTGCCCGTACTTGAGATATTAAAGAAAAATTATGTGTCTTTTGTATGTAAATTATAATTTGCTTGTCTTGCCATGGTATAATATTTATCTGATTATGTTCTATCTCGTTGTACAGGAGTTACGTGGTCTTGTTAGGAATGTACAATCAATACGTGAAAAAAGGAGCAAATCAGACGAGGGGGAAGGAAAAGTAAACACTGATGTTGTCCGTGCAGAAAGGTCTCTCACACGTTTCCTTCGAGACCTAGCGAAACAGCTTCACAGCTAAATAGAATATCAGATTCATCTGTGAGAGTATACTCCATGCTGGCCATCATTAGATCCTCAAAAAGTACATTAAAATGTATTTGTAATATTTCCTAGTACATGCATGTACTATCTGGAAGTTAGATCTCATTCCTCTGCCGACAAGGCTTCCTATTTCCCCTCTATTATTTTTCTCTACTTTTCTAGGGGAGGGGAGGGGATTTGGGGGTGGGTGATGGGTGACAGGAGAGAGTATTCTTTCTACTGTAGATCAACATCCACTGTTCAATGCCATAAGCCATGAACTTTTGAGTGAAACACTAGTACTGGAGTTGTGATGTTAAAAACATTGAAAATTTTGCATAATGTTTGCTTGATAGATGACATTGGGATTGAGAGCTTGTTTGTCTTTATGGAAAACTATAATGAAAGAATCTTTTGGTTTCGATATGTCACTCCTTTTTTGTATCAGCTGATGCTACTGAAAGAGAGGAAGAGGAGTGTCTGCTATTGTTGCTTGGAGTAATATTCCACTCATTGATTGAAGGACAAAGACATCGATGACATTTGTGTTGGCCGTCGGCTGTTGCTGTACAGGTAATGTGTTTTATTCAGAAACTTGAGTAACAGAGAAACGTACAGATTGTCAAAATACATTCCTTTCAAGTGATGTTTCATTTTCACTGTTTAACACATACATGACTCATCTTTTAACTTTATTTTGCTGATTCATTGGACTGTAAATTTAGAATTTTCTTTGTTTAATTTCTTTATTAACGGCAACATGTTGAACGCATGATTCGTTCTTTGTAAAGAGAAACACTTCTCCATTTATTCAGGCAGACAGTGGTTTGGTGTAATTCAAAATTGCTGACTAACGTTGATGTGTATACTGTATAGGTTCAGCTCATATGTTGTATCTTGAAAAACTGTTGTAGATAACATGGAGCTATCAGCATCAGTTTACAAAGGTCGTGGCCAGGTCATTTTCTGCTTATTTAAGTTCTGTTCATCTACCTTTTGGGTGTGATTAATAGCCATTCCTTTATCATAACTACATAATAATATATGTTACATGTAAGGTGAACAAATTGTTGAATCAAAATGAAAAATAAAATAAAATTAGGAATTTGTTTCTGTCGGTAGTTTACTTTTCTATGCTTCATGGATAAAAACTTTCGAGGTCAAAACTTAATATATGTTAAACTCGAAAAGTGGTTAGTGGATGCTATTTCTACGATTATACGATTATAGGAGTGGCCAGTGGAGAAAGGGATAAGGTACCCACTTGGGGGTATATGTGCTACTAATTAGTGCTTAATGTCTTTGTCCCAGCGACTCCAACGGCTTGTCAGACACCAAAAGATAGTGACTCTTAACCAAATGCCTTTTTGTGAAAAAGATGTCACACATGAACAGAGTAAATACACTGCCGCCGTGGATACACTTAATTTAGTCATGTTAATATTGATATTATGGGTTGTATACTATTCTAAGGTTGAATAATACTATTTTGATAAAGTAACAGAGGTTTAAGACTGATTAGTCTTCAACCCGATCAATTTTTCTGTCTGATTTTTCTTTTGGACTTGCTACAAAATTCAAGAAAGTAAATTAAATTTTTAAATCTTGTGCTCTTAAGTTAAATATATGTCGAATGTATGGAAAAAGTTATTTAGTTTTTCTTGGTTTTTAACATGTGCAAGTTAAAAAAGGAGTTAATGAAAAAATATATATATTTTTAAACAAATTAAAAAGACAAATAAGCTAAACACATTGAAACGGAGGGACCAAGTATTCATCCTCTTGTAATTAGCGTCTTTCAACACACATACGACGATGAGTGAAGGATCTAAAGGCTATAATCTTATCGAAAGTCCATTAAAAAGTAACATGATCTTAAATGGAGAATTTCAATAGTTCAATTTATTAACTATTAGATAATGCTAAATAGACAGAAATTTTACCAAAGATTAAAAAGGTTTTTCCTTTTGCTTAACTATTTAAATGTTTTTATTTATTGATAAGTGTTTGATTTCTGATATATAGTATGAATAGTATAAATTTAAGATTTAAAAGGAAATTGCTTTACTGCTTAGGGCTTACCTGCCCCCTAAAAAGTAGAGTAGTTCCTTTATTTAAGATAAGATGATAGAAATTTCAAGATAAGTACATGTGCAGATTGCTTTTTAGAAAGTAACGATCAAATACATACTTATATATATATATTTTTTGTATATAGAAATTTCAATGTATAAATAGTATGCAACCAAATGGGTGAGAGTAAAGTGAGTTCGAAGAATTTACATTAGAGAAACAAAAGTAGTAGGCTGGAAAAGAACAAAAAAAAACAAAATAAAAAAAATAAGTGGATAGAAGCAAATTCTTAACCAACAGAGATTATGGCATAAATATTGAAATTTTAAATCCTTAATTAGAAATTTCAAAAATTTTCAAAAAATCATATTAGGAGTTATTCTGGAAATAGGCTTTAAAATGTATGGATTTAAATTTAATGAGTCTCCATATGAGTATCTGAAATCGGATGAAAATATTATCCATAGTCGCCATTCACACAGTTAAAAACTTTGTAGTCAAAAACCTCGACCTTGTGAATTAGCCGCCACTATTTTCAACTATTACCAAAATGTTTTAATTTATAGGCCCTTAATTTATTTGACCACGTTTTTAAACATTTCATCAAAAATTCTAACATGTCTGACCAAACTTACCATAATTTGAGGGATCAAAAAACATTATCTTATCTTCAACTATTGACAATTCAAATAGATTATTTTATGGAATTAATTTTAATTGAAAATCAAATTATCCAAGATTTTGGGAGGGGGCTCTTTCATACATAACTTATGACCTTTTTATCCTTAAATCGGGGTATGGAAGGAAGAACAAATAGGAGATTAGCATGTCAAGTCTCGAACTCTCACCAACAAGGTGATAGTTTAGATAGCCAACTATCTGAGCGAGAAAGATATAATATTATAACTTTAATCAGTCATTTAAAAAAAAATAAGTAATTGTATATTATTGAATAAATCAATTGTCCGATGTAATTCTTACCAAAACTCGTTTATTCCATCATTAAAAAAACAAGTAATCGTATATTATTGAAGAAGCATGCACCATGTAGTTTTATTGGATTGGTCAAAGTAGCTGTAGCTAAAAAGCTAAAGAGTCTTGTTATAAGGAAAGAGCAGTTAAATGATTAATAATGTTTACTAATTTTGGATAATATTAATTAAGCAAAATTAGGTAAAACTGAAAGTAAACAACTAGCTTTACAATATGGAGCTTCCTTAAATTATAGAACAATTAAAAGACTCTCTCTCACACTTTGTCAAGTGGCCAATAAGTTGGACAGATAAGACTTTTTCAAGATTCAGTCACCAAATTTAAACCCCAAATCAAAATTGACTACTTACCAATAAGTAGATAAGACAATCTTGATTAATTTCCATGAAGTTTCTTAAATGATCACTTAGTAGGCATTCGGATAATGTTTATTTCAAGTTAAAAGTGAGGAAAAAAAATATTAAAGTTAGCTTCGATATTTACTTGACCACTTTATATAAATGTTAAAAGTTGGAAGAATGTTGTTTGTTGGTTCGCTCGATGTTCAATATGCATTATATAGCTTGATAAGTTAATCTGCATATATATCGGAGAAATATATTTCACTTAAACAATCACTTACATAAACAATTTTATTTTCAAGGTTCAAATTTTAAAAAGAAATATATATTATTTCATACTAAACATTTCTCAAATTAATTAATAAGCTTTTGAACACATATCTCCTTGGTTTGTAGATTCAATTAATAATACAAAATATGTGGTGACTAGCTACTATATACTAGTAATAATTTTTATGACTTCACCCATCTACAGTTAAGGCGTATAATTTATAACTTGATATAAATATCAAATACAAATAACTATTTTTAAAATTATTGTACGAAACATAGTGGGCACGCATGCTCAAATTAACCGTACGTGTTAAAAATAAAAGTACCATTTAATTTATTTAAAATATGAATATGAAATATCCAACAATTTTATGATGAGATTGAAAATGAACTGACAAAAGGCCAATTCCATCAAGCTATAAAGACTATGATATTTATTTGCAATTTGCATATTTTAATCTTTTTGTGATATGATATTTTTTTTTGGGTCCAGCCTACCTCGATCTCTAGATTTTTCTTCCTTTTCCCATGCATAGTCTTTTTTCAAGTATCTGATTTTTCTTTTCCATTTATTTCTAACCAACAAAAGTTTAATTCCACACCTAAGATCAACGAGGGCGGGTCACGTATAAAAAATAATTTCAAAAATTTTTCTAGTCTGACAAGCTTCTAAAAAAAGATATATTTGATTAAATTTGACAAATTAATTGAGACAAGCATTTTTTAACTCAATAGTAACGTAACTAAAAGAACAAATTCAGAAGGATTTGTTAGGATAAATTAACCAAAATACATAGCATGAACTTTGATTAGTAATATTTTATGTTAGTTTCTTTGTGTATAGAGAAAAGAGTGGAAAATGACAAGGCATATATATATATATCATGATAAGCCTCTAATTTGTCTTGTCATGTGTAAATGTGAGTACATGACAACCTTGCTTGCGGCAAATAATACTGCTCCTGACGTTAGAGAATTATTATGATGAGACCAAATTGTATTTTTTTTCTTAAATTATTTCTTTTTTCTTCTATTATTAACAGATTTTTATTTTCATTATCTCTACTTGCATTTTTGTCACTGGTTTTAACACTTCTTTTTAATAGTTTCTTGTTTATCATTTTTAGTTTCCATTCGTGTCTTGTGGTCTTTTGATGATCGTATATTTGTTAGTTTTAATATGTTTATCCTATCATATATCTCTAGCTAGAAGGTTAGTATTGACTATTCTTCTCAATTTTACTTGTTCAATACACTGGATATATTATTATAGGAGATATTATGGAATATATAATTAGTTAATTGTGAAAAATAATCATAATGAGATTATGCATTGAAAGGACTCTTTCACCTAATTTCTAGGCTAGTTTGGTGAATTAATTTATAATAAAGTTTAGCTAGGTATCTTCAATCAAAGAACGAATGAAGCGATGACATTTGTCAACATACAACAATACATAATGTACATTAAACGTATTTGATAGACGAATATCTCCAATTTTCCTTGAATAATCTTTTAAAGATTACATTTTTTTTCACCGTTAAATACTTATATTGAAGTCGACTATTTCAGACTCACACCGAGTAGGCTTCCATTAAGGCAAAAACGATCCTTATCAAGATTTTTTTCATATTCAAAACTTTAATTAGATACCTTTGATGAAAGAGAAAAACAACCTCATCCAATGCACCAAATCCTTTCACGATAAACAACACTTATTTGTATACTCAATTTCACACTCCACATAACATTTCTATTTATGATAATAGTTAATAATTTATGCACTTTATAATTCGAAATCAAGTGCTACACGCTAGTGTTAATTCAAGGATGGCATATTTGAGATACTAACATAAGTGACGTAAAACTACAAGGAACTCGAATTATAAAATACTGTTGGAAAATTGCTTTAAAAAGTAATGCACTACTACTATTATATAAAAACTCATATTCAATATAACTTAATCACAAATTATAAGTTACAATAACATATTGAATATATACCTTTTTTTTAAAAAAAAAAAATTGATTTCCCGTTAATTGTCTCATCATTAGTTTTCAAATGATTAATGAAGTATCTTAAGCGTTCACGATAACTCTAATATGAGTCAAATTAAAAAGGACTTAATCAGCCACATTGAGGTGGTGTTTGTACTAAAGAGAAAATATACTTTTTTAAAAAAAATTTAATGTATTTATTTTATTGTGTTCGAATAATTAATTCTATCTTAAAAATATTAATATCTAATCTAGATATATAAGATGAGGAATAGGTACGATGCAGATGACAGATTTTATGTGAAATGTCATGTAACTTGTTTTCTCTAATTCTAGAGAATTTGACCAAACTAAGTCATTCTATAAATCAATTCACCAAAATAGTATGTTTTTAATTTTGTTTACAAAACTAGTATAAACGTGGTT